TTTTTAGTAGAGACAGGGTTGCACCATGTTGGCCAGGATGGTCTCAGTCTCCTGACCTCGCAATCCACCTGCCTCGGCCTCCCAAAGTGCTGGGACTACAGGCGTGAGTCACTATGCCCAGCCAGGGAAAGACTTCTTAGGAAGCCATCTGAAATATTTAAAAATGACTACTCCAAATACCTTTCAACAAAAATTGATTTAAAAAAAAGAGAAGGAAAATAAAACACTGTATAGAATAAATACAAAATTTCAGTTCATACATTTGTGTTTTGTTTTTTTTTTTTGAGATAGAGTCTTCCTCTGCCGCCTAGGCTAAAGTACAGTGCTGCAATCTCCACTCACTGCAGACTCTGTTCTCCTGGGTTCCAGCGATTCTCCTGCCTCAGCCTCCTGGGTAGCTGGGATTACAGGCATACACCACCACACCCGGCTAATTTTTATGTTTTTAGTGGAGATAGGGTTTTGCCATGTTGCCCAGGATGATCTTAAACTACTGACTTCAGGTGATCCACCTGCCTCAGCCTCCCAAAATGGTGGGATTACAGACATGAACCACCGCGCCCATCCTATTTGTGCTTTCTAGAGCAAACATTGGGCTAGGCACTGTGGCTCATGCCTGTAATCCCAACGCTCTGGGAGACTGAGGCAGAAGAATCACTTGAGACCAGTTCAAGACTAGCTCAGGCAACATAGTCAGATACTGTCTCCATAAAAAATTGAAAAATTAGCTGAGCACGGTGGTGCATGCCAATAGTCTCAGCTACTAGGGAGGCTGAAGCAGGAAGATCACTTGAGCCCAGGAGTATGAGTTTACAGTGAGCTATGATTGTGCCACTGCATTCCAGGCCTGGGCAAAAGAGCAAGACTCTGTTTTGTTTTTGTGTTGTTTTATTTATTTATTTGTTTTCAGATGGAGTTTCACTCTTGTTGTGAAGGGTGGAGTATAATGGCACGATCTTGGCTCGCTGCAACCTCCACCTCCCAGGTTTAATTGATTCTCCTGCCTCGGCCTCCCAAGTAGCTGGGATTACAGGTATATGTCACTACACCTGGCTAATTTTATATTTTTAGTAGAGATGGGGTTTCACCATGTTGGCCAGGCTGGTCTTGAACCCCTGACTTCAGGTGTTCTGCTCACCTTGGCTTCCCAAAGTTTTCTGTGGGATTAGGCCCCTGGCTTGATTCTGACTCATTATGACTGTTGGGATTACAGGCATGAGCCACTGTGCCTGGCCAAGACCCTGTTTCTAAGGAAAAAAAAAGAAAAGAAAGAAAAAAATAAATAAAGCAAACATTAAAGATGTATTCAACTCTGCCTACCTAGATATTTAGCTCTTCAACCTTTCTTGGTGTTGGGGGTGAGAGGAAAGATTCCAGGCAGAGGGAATAGCATGGATAAAGCACAAAACTGGGAACAAACTTGTCATATTCAAGAATCTGAAACAGGTACATGCCATGACTGTAGTTTGACACAGTAAATGTTTATTCAATGACAGACCTTCTGCAGGAGAGACCAAATGAGACCTAGGATGTCAGGATGTCAGAAATGCTTTCTCAGACTTTCAAAAATCAATCTGTTTTCAACTGAGGGGCCATTCATTCTAATCTCCCCTACTTTCTTATTCTTTCCACAGCTTTCCAGTCATGCCACACACAGATGCGGACCACTGTCCTTTACCCAGTCTATCTAGTCCTGAAGACACACGAGTCTTTTTCAGGTACTTTTCCTTCATATACAGACACACATACAGTCAACATTTCCAACTCTATGCCTTTGAACCCAGCAATTATTTTGCTGGGTGATGAGTCAGCGGTGTGCCCTGGGCATGGGTCCAGTCCTCTTGGTACATGAAAGCCTTTGAACATGAAGCCACTGGAGTGCTACAGGAAGTATACTTCATCACAATTCTGTCTACACTGGCCTTATGCTTGCCTGGGTTTCTTTCTTTTTCTTTTTTTTTTTTTTGGAGACAAAGTCTCGCTCTGTTGCCCAGACTGGAGTGCAGTGGCACGATCTTAGCTCACTCCAACCTCTGCCTCCCCAGTTCAAGCAATTCTCCTGTCTCAGCCTCCCAAGTAGCTGGGACTACAGGCACATGCTGCCACGCCCACTAATTTTTTGTATTTTTTTCAGTAGAGACAGCATTTCATCATGTTGCTCAGGCTGGTCTTGAAATCCTGAGCTCAGGCAATCCAGTCACCTCGGCCTCCAAAAGTGCTAGGATTACAGGGCTGAGCCAACAGGTCTGGCCTCTTTCTTTTTTTTGAGACAGAGTCTTGCTCTGTCACCCAGGCTGGAGTGCAGTGGTGTGGTCTCTGTTGTTCACTGCAGCCTGTGCCTCCCGGGTTCAAGCAATTCTCCTGCCTAAGCCTCCCGAGTAGTTGTGATTACAGGCAGGTGCCACCATGCTCAGCTAATTTTTGTACTTTTAGTAGAGACAGTTTCACCATGTTGCCCAGGTTGGTCTCTAACTCCTGTCCTCAAGTGATCCGCCCCCCCACTTCAGCCTCCCCAAGTGTTGGGCTACAGGCATGAGCCACCGCGCCCCGCCTGGGTTTCTGTATTAGAATAACCCTGGGCAAAACAACCTTCTGGGCATTGCTATTATCACCTGGAAAGGAGGTCTAGTATTCATTGGTATGCCATGTTCACAGGGCTGTTGTGAGGATAAAATGCAAGAACGATGAGGAAAATCGAGTAATTATAACTGACATTTATTTTTTTCAGAGCCAGACACTGATAGGAAGCATCAGGACGATGCTCTGACGGAGGAGGAAACGCGGGGCTGAGATCAGCTTCGTGTGCACATTGGCTTTGATCAAACTGCTGCCCAGCGACCAGCAGCTCCACCCTGGTGAAGCAGAGGGTGGGGGTTAAACGGCTCAGACTCTGGGTCTGGCTCCATGTATAAGTAAGTGTGACCCCGGGCCCGTAGCTTAACCTGTCTGGGGTTAAGCTGTTCGGTTAACCTAAGAGGAACCTGTCGGCTTCCTCTTGCGTGGAATGAGGACCGCAGAAGGGGTTCAGACGGAACTGAGCGAGAGGGTCCATTTAAAGCTCTGAGCAGTGGTGTCTTGGCGTGCAAATTCATTTTCACTTTTACCATTATGTTTGTTCTTACCTATTTAAGGGCAGCACCACGACGTTTGTGGCGCTCGGCGGGGTAGAGGGAAGTGTGCTCAGGAAGCCTGGGGTCTGAGTGGCGTGGGACCTAGGCCGCTCCTTTTTCGGGGCTTCAGTTTCCCGCCTCAAAATGATGGGTGGATTGGCTGAGTTACACCCAGCCTTCCCGCCCCTCGGCGTCAGGCTGGGCAGCGACCCTCCTCAGTGGGGAAACTCCCACCACCCCATAGGCCAGGGAAGAGGCGGGGCGGGGGTGGGGCCTGGCGAGGGTCAGGTCCCCCGGTCCCACCTGCCGCCGCTCACCTCTAGGCTGTAGTTGCCTCGGATGGCGGTGAAGTCGTCCAGGGCTTCGGCCGCGCTGCCTTCGTCCAGATTCAGCTCCTGGCACAGCGCCTGTAGCGCCTCCCCGGCTGCGGCGACCACCGCCGCCCCCTCAGTGTGGGGCTCGTCCTCGAACATCTCTTCAGTCCCCGCGGGCGGCGCGCGACGGCCCCCGACTTCTTTCTCTCTCTCGGACGAGCTACCCACAACCACCTGCGCCAAAGCGCGCGAAAATCGGCGACTGCGGGGTGCCTTGTCTTTCACCGTCTGCCTCCGCTTTTCTCCTCAAAAAAAGTCCGTTTTTTCCTCCGGAGCTCCTAGCCTTCCCTCTCCGGAAATGTGATAAGAAGACGGACCACAGATCCTGAATGACCTGGCCTTGGCCCTTGGCGGATCGCTGGGGGCCCAGCCGGCAGGGCAAAAAAAGAGCGGAGGGATCCGCAGCCTGCGCGCAGAGCCTGCTGGGAGGTGTAGTCCATCTCTTGGGAGATGAAGCACGCGACGTGCCCGTCTCCCTGGTTAGGCTCTTGGGTTTGGGCAGGGCTGGTATGCCTACTGCGAGGTGGCCTCGTGCAGCATAGTGAGATGCCTCCTCTATCCATGGGCCCTGGGTTTGTCACTGTTTCTCCTGCCTCAGGCTCCTTTTTAGAAAAAAAGGACGAAGAGGGGCCCTTGGGACTCTCCCCAACGTCCCAGTGCCCAGTGAGCGATTCTCTAAATGACCGCGGGGAAGGACTGGTGAGGGTTATTAGGGGACGGATCCTGATCTCGTGTTAGTCACACGAGGCGGGCAGAGAGGACTGCAGTAATGAGGCAGTAGAATAGGGTCTGGAGGCAAAGAACCTATGGCTGGTTCACGTGACTTTCTAAAAATTGAAAGGAAAATTCCAACTTTCTACGCCTAAGTAACAAAATGACCAGAGGCTATGTCGTTGGACATTTTCTGCATGGCAGATGGGAAACTGTCCGCAACAAATCACACTCAGTACTTGCCAGTCTTCGTCTGCAACTTTGTAACTTAACTCCAGTCTCTGAATAGTTGCTGTCCACAACCAATCAGACTCATTGCGGTAGAGTCTTTATTTGCATAGAAGTAAAACGTTGTAACTTCACCCTAGCCTCTGATTGGTTGCTTTCTGCAACCAATCAGAAGCTATTCAATTGTCAAAAACTCCAAAAGTTTGAAAATGTTGCAGCGACTCCCCATTTCTTTCAAGGTTAAGCCAAGCTCCTTGTCCTAACCTATAAGGAACTAAGGGTCTAACTCTGCCTTCATTTGCTCCTCTCCGCTTTCTCACCCTACCCTAGTCATACTTGTGATTCCTTGTGGTTGCTTTTTTTCCCCCTTTAATTTGGAATAATACAAACTCAATTTTTTATTTAGTGGTAACCCCAATGTTTAAAAAAAGTGAAACATTTCATTTAAATCACTAGCTAAAAGATAATAGCTAAGAATACTTGAACCCAAAGAATTGAGGAAATGGGTGGGGGGGCATGGTGGCTCACACCTGTAATCCCAGCACTTTGGGAGGCTGAGGTGGGCAGATCACTTGAGGCCAGGAGTTCAAGGCCAGCCTGGCCAACATGGCAAAACCCCATCTCTACTAAAAATACAAAAATTAGCTGGGGATGGTGATGTCCGTCTGTAGTCCCAGAAGCTGAGGCAGGAGGACAATCGCTTGAACCGGGAAGGCAGTGGTTGCAGTGAGCCGAGATCTCACCACAGCCCTCCAGCCTGGGCAACAGAGCAAGACTGTCTCAAAAACAAACAAACAAACAAACAAAAACGCTTAATGCAATTAACCGTTAGACATTTCCATTCTTGACCTGCCAGTTGTCCCATTTCCTTTCTTTTTTGCCATATTACCTCCAAGATGTCCCTCCACTGCCCTAGATAGCTCCGCTCTGGTTCTCTGTGTATATTCTTCAACCAAACAAGAGCCTGAGAATCAGATTGATAGTGACTATTTCTGATTAGTCCAGTGTGCCTCTTGGGGTCCTCCCACAATTCCACATGCAACTTATTAAAGTGGTCACCCAGTACAAACTAATCTCTTTTCCCAGAAAATTTCTGCTTATAAGAAATTTTTATCCATTTATGCTTAGACAGTGGGTACTCAACAAATAATGGTTCCTATCCTAGAGCCATTTGAGGATCTGATATCGGTTGTAGGAGAGGGAATCAAGTAAATGGAAAAAAGGGGAAAAGTAAGGAATGGAAAACTTGTATATATTGGGACAGATTTAGCATTACACCAATTCAGAGATTTTTTTTTTCTTGCTTGGAGGTTTTGTTTAAGATTGAGTCTTGCTCTGTTGCCCAGTCTGGCATGCAGTGGCACGATCTTGGCTCACTGTAACCTCTGCCTTCTGGGTTCAAACAGTTCTCCTCCCTCTGCCTCCTGAGTAGCTGGGATTACAGGCATGCACCACCACGCCCAGCTAATTTTTTGCATTTTTAGTAGAGACGGTGTTTCACCATGTCGATCAGGCTGGTCTTGAACTCCTGACCTTGTGATCTGCCCGCCTTGGCCTCCCAAAGTGCTAGGATTATAGGTGTGAGCCACCATGCTTGGCCTGTTTTTTGTTTTTTTTAGATAGAGTCTCGCTCTATTGCCCAGACTGGAGTGCAGTGGTGCAATCTTGGTTCACTGCAACCTCTCCTCCCAGGTTCCAGCAATTCTCCTGCCTCAGCCTCCTGAGTAGCTGGGACTACAGGCACATGCCACCATGCCTGGCTATTTGTACTTTTAGTGGAGACAGGGTTTCACTATGTTGGCCAGGCTGGTCTCAAACCCCTGACCTCATGATCTGCCTGCCTTGGCCTCTCAAAGTGCTGGAATTATAAGCATGAGCCACCACACCCGGCCACATGGAGGTTTTTAAGGGAAAGAAAAAGGAAGAAGACAGGACCATAAAGGATTTCACAAAACTACATCATTAAGTATGAAACTATAAGAAAGGATTGTTGGCCAGGCATGGTAGTTCATGACTGTAATCCCAGCACTTTGGGAGGCCAAGGTGGGTGAATTAATTAAACTTAGTTTGAGATTATCCTGGACAACATGGCAAAACCTGTCTCTACCAAAAATACAAAAAAATTAGCTGGACATGGTGGTGCACACCTGTAGTCCCAGCTACTTGGGAGGCTTCGGGGGAGGATCACTTGAGCACAGAAGGCTGAGGTTGCAGTGAGCCATCATCATGCCACTGCATCCAGCCTGGGTGAATGAGACCCTGTCTCAAAACAAAAAACAAAATGTTATTTTATTCTTAAGATTGTTGGCAATTAAGCAAAGTCCTTAACAAAAGAGCCAACACCACTAACATTGCAACATTATTTATTTAGAATCTCTCTTGAAACTGTCCTCAACCTATTTCTCAAGACTGGAATTCTACTAGGCACGATGGTACATGCTTGTAATTCCAGCACTTTGGGAGGCTGACACAGGAGGATCACTTGCGACCATGAGTTCAAGACTAGCCTGCCTGCACATGTTGATTGCAAGATCTTGTCTCTAAAAAACAAACAAACAAACAAAAAACATTAGCTTATTCATCTCTAGCTCTCAGTCCCTGATGTGAGTCCAGTACAAGCGGGAGGAAGGGAAATTAACAATCAATAAATATGCACTCTGTGCTCAATCTGTGCAATACCTCTTACATACGTTCTTTCATTTACTCATTCCAATAAGCTTTTAGTTAGGAAACACCATCTCCATTTTTTACATGAACCTGCAGTTGAGAAATTAATTTTTTTAATGTTTCCAGAAAGTCAGCTATAATGCTGGCATTTGATCCCAGGCCTATATACCCCAAACTTCATAATATTTAGACGGCATAATTTGCCTATTCCAAATATATCTCTATTTACAGAGCGAATAATTGTGCTGATATTCGGTGAGACAGTGTGTACAATATAAAACCCAGTTTATGATTTAAATGGCGGCAAAAGATGTAGATATAGCCAAATCCTAAAGTCATCATCTCCTGTTAGCTCTTGTTTCTGTTTTGTCTTTCCCATTTGACAAAGAACCATGTCTAGAAGTTCAGGGTTGTCTTGCTTTCCGAGATGGAGACAACAGCATGAAGGGCCATTTAGCAGGTATGGTTGTGTGTGCCTGTAGTTCCAGCTACTTAGTAGGCTGGGCAGGAGGCCAGACTTGGAGGTTAGTAAATTACGATCACGCCACTGCACTCTAACCTGGGTGACAGAGGGAAACTCTATCTCTAAAAGAAATTACATTAAAAAAAAAAAAAAAGACGTGAACTTTATTTTTTTTTTTTTTGAGACATAGTCTCGCTCCGTTGCCCAGACTGAAATGCAGTGGTGCAACCTTGGCTCACTGCAACCTCTGCTTCCTGCGTTCAAGTGATTCTCCTGCCTCAGCCTCCCAAGTGCTGGGATTACTGGTGTCTGCCACATGCCTGGCTAATTTTTGTATTTTAAATAGAGACGGGGTTTCATCATGTTGGCCAGGCTGGTCTTGAACTCCTGATCTCAAGTGATCTGCCCGCCTCAACCTCCCAAAGTGCTGGGATTATAGGCCTGACGCACCATGCCCAGGCAAAAACCTTGTAGATTTTAAAATTATATTTGCAATTTTAAACTAAGAACTGCCCTTCCCTACAGCTTCTTAAAGGTTTTAAAAGCAAAAAACATGTGGGAGGTAATTAAATGGGTAGAGGTGGCTTCATGCTGGCAGTTTTAAGTCTGAAAAAAGGTGTGGGGGAGCACATTAGTGGCTTCTGTGGTTTCTGAAAGGATTCGTTTTTACCTGACGTTACTTGCCTTGTGCTTCTAGGTAGGGGGTCTGCCCATGAGCTTCTGCAACCAGCTCACTCTCTGCTCAGGTTTTGGTTTGGCCCTCACCATCTGGACTAGAAACAGAGTTTGGTGGGCGATGATGCACAGCGAGGGCTCAGGGTCACACAGCGGGCCTCTTAGATCTAGTGGTAGGCAAACGCAGGTTGGAGGTAAAAGCCCCTGAGATCTATGGAAATGAACGCAGGTCTAGACAGCAAAAAGCTTACATGTCCGTAGCAGCTTAGATTGCAGGTCCATGTTTTTCTAAGTCTCTGTCTAAAAGTTTATATATCAATGGATGGATTCCAATTTTGATCGACAAAACCTACTGGTTTCTGAGTTGTCAAACATTTCACTCCTTTGCAGTAATCACATTCCAAGTAGTCTTTCTAAAATCAAATTATCTAGACCTCCCAAGCTACGTCTAATGTTAACATCTAAGTTCCTGTGTTGGTCCTAGATGTAACTCTTATGTCGTTAATTAAAAAAAAAATTACTTTTTATTTTTTCCTTCCCTCCCTTCCTTCCTTCCTTGCCCAGGCTGGAAGTACAGTGATGCAGTCTCGGTTCACTGCAACCTGTGCCTCTGAGGTTCAAATGATTCTCCTGCTTCACTCTTCTCAGTAGCTAGGATTAAAGGTGCCCACCACCACGCCCAGCTATTTTTTATATTTTTAGTAGAGATGGACTTTCACCATGTTGGCCAGGCTGGTCTCAAACTCCTGACCTCAAGTGATCCACCTACCTGGGCCTCCCAAAGTGCTGGGATTACAGGCGTGAGCCACTGTGCCTGGCAGTTTTTATGGTTTCTTATTGCAAAAGAAATACATGTTCACTGTGTAGAAAATTTAGATAACTACGTGTAAGCACAAGAAGAAAAAGTCACCCATAATCCTACCATCTAGAGATATCTACTGTCATTTTGAATGTTTATCTTTCTGGTCTTTTTTCTACACATTTATACTTACATACTTATACTTTTATTTTTTTGTCCAAATGGAACCATATGACCCAGGAATTGCAATTGCTGGTTTTATTTAATGATACCACATCATCATTTATCTGAGTCATTTAAAAATTATTCTAGGCCAGGCACAGTAGCTCATGCCTGTAGTTACAGCACTTTGGGAAGCCTAGGCAGGTGAATCGCTTGACACCAGGAGTTTGAGACCAGCCTGGGCAACATGGCAAAACCCTATCCCTACAAAAAGATCAAAAAATAAAACATTAGCAGGTGTGGTGGATTGTGCCTATAGTCCCAGCTACTTGGGAGGCTGCGGTGGGAGGATCCCTTCAGCCTGGGAGGTGGAGGTTGCAGTGAACTGAGATTGTGCCATTGTATTCCAGCCTGGGTGACAGAGCAAGATCTTGTTTCAAAATAAATAAATAAAATAAAAATTATTCTATAATATTTTTCATGCCTATTCAAGTTGAGGATCCCTTATCCAAAATGTTTGGTACCAGAAGTGTTTTGGAAATCAGACGGTTTTGGATTTTGGAAGATTTGCCTATATGTAATGAGATATCTTGGGGATGGGACTGAAGGCTAAACACAAAATTCATTTACGTTCATATACACCTTATACATATGGCCTGAAGGTAATTTTAGAAAAAATTTTAAATAATTTTAGTTTGACTGTGTGCTTTTTTGTTTTTGTTTTTTGAGATGGAGTCTCACTCTGTAGCCCAGGCTGGAATGCAATGGCACAATCTTGCCTCACTGCAACCTCTGCCTCCGGGTCCCAGTTCAAGCAGTTTTCCTACCTCAGCCTCCCAAGTAGCTGGGATTACAGGCACGAAACACCATGCCCAGCTAATTTTTGTATTTTTTTTTAATAGAGATGGGGTTTCACCATATTGGCCTGTCTGGTCTTGAACTCCTGACCTTGTGATCCGCCCGCCTTGGCCTCCCAAAGTGCCAGGATTACAGGTGTGAGCCACCACGCCCAGCCTGTTTGTTTTTTTGAAGAGAGTCTCACTCTGTCGCCCAGGCTGGAGTGTAATAAGGCGATCTTGGCTCACTGCAACCTCCGCCTCCTGGGTTTAAGCAATTCTCCTGCCTCAGGCTCCTAAGTAGCTGGGACTACAGGTGCACACCACTAAACCTGGCTAATTTTTGTATTTTTACTAGAGACAGGGCTTCACCATGTTGGTCAGACTGGTCTTGAACTCCCAACCTCAGGTGACCCACCTGCCTTGGCCTCCCAAAGTGCTAGAATTACAGGAGTGAACCACTATACTTGGCTTGGCTGTGTTTTGTTCTATGGGGTCAGGTATGGAATTTTCCCGTTGTGAAGTCATGTTAACACTCAAGAAGTTTCAGGTTTGAGAACATTTCAGATTTTGGATTTTTTTGAGTAGGGATGCTCAACCTGTATATAATTCTACAATATGAATGTGCTATAATTTCTTTAATTATCTATTGTTTTCAATCTAGTGTTTCCCACTTTTGTTATTCTAAATAACACTAAAATGAACATTCCTGTAACTATTTCTGCTTATTTTCATAGATTAAATTCCTAAATAGGAATTGATTAGTCAGGCTGAGCACGGTGGCTCATGCCTGTAATCCCAGCACTTTGGGAGACTGAGGCAGGTGGATCACAGGGTCAGGAGTTCTAGACCAGCCTGACCAACATGGTGAAACCCTGTCTCTTCTAAAAGTACAAAAATTAGTCAGGTGTGGTGGTGTGTACCAATAATCCAGCTACTCAGGAGGCTGAAGTAGGAGAATCGCTTGAACCCGGGAGGCAGAGGTTGCAGTGAGCCGAGATCATGCCACTGTACTCCAGCCTGGGCAACAGAGTGAGACTTCGTTTCAAACAAACAAACAAACAAACAAACAAACAGCTAAAAAACCAAAGAACTGATAAAATAAGTATAATTTTAAAGGATTTTGATACATACTGCCAAACTTTCCTATTAAAAATTTATGCTCATTGGCTGGGCGAGGTGGCTCATGCCTGTAATCCCAGCACTTTGAGAGGCTGAGGCAGGTGGATCACTTGGAGTCAGGAGTTGGAGACCAACCTGGCTAACATGGTGAAACCCCGTCTCTTCTAAAAATACAAAATTAGCCAGGTGTGGTGGCACATGCCTATAGTCCCCACTACTTGGGAGGCTGAGACAGGAGAATCACTGGAACCCAGAAAGTGAAGGCTGCAATGAGCTGAGATTGAGTCACTGCACTCCAGCCTGGGCGAGGCAGAGAGAGACTCCATCTCAATAAATAAAATAAAGTAAAAATAAATAAATAAAAATTTATGCTCATATAAGCACAGTGTATAATGTCAGTTTTCCCTTAACACATCAAAGTTGAGGTTTTTTTTTTTTTTTTTTGAGATGAAGTCTTGCTCTGTTGCCCAGGCTAGAGTGCAGTGGTACAATCTTGGCTCACTGCAACCTCTGCCTCCTGGGTTCAAGTGATTCTCCTGCCTTAGCCTCCCAAGTAGCTGGGATTACAGGCGCTCACCACCACACCTGACTAATTTTTGTATTTTCAGTAGAGACAGAGTTTCCCCGTGTTGGCCAAACTGGTCTCAAACTCCTGATTTCAGGTTATCCACCCACCTGGGCCTCCCAAAGTGCTGGGATTACACTGTACCTGGCCCAAAGTTTATTAACTGGTAATCTTTGCCATTTTGACAGGAAAATGCGTACTGGCATCTCATTATGATTTATTTTGCAAAATTCTGATTACTAGTGATATCAAATACCTTTCATCTATTTATTGGCCACTTGTAATTATTCAATGAACTGCTTATTCATACTGTGCGCCACTTTTCTTTTGAGAATTTCTAACTTGTTTTAAGGATATTAACCCTTTATCATGTTGCAAATACTTCCCTCCATATTATTGTTTGCATTTCACTTTTAACTATTTCTCTCTTTTTCAAAGTTGATTTTCAAAATTTTTATGTAGAAAAATCTACCATTCTTTTGTTTTATTGGTATGTCTTTGGTGTCATACCTAGAAAATGTTCTCTTTTTTATTTTTATTTTAATTAATTAATGTTTTTGAGACCTTACTCTGTTGCTCAGGCTAGAGTGCAGTGGTGCATTCTTGGCTCACTGCAACCAACGCCTTGCAGGTTCAAGCGGTTCTTGTGTCTAAACCTCCTGAGTAGCTGGGATTACAGGTGCCCCCCACCATGCCTGGCTAATTTTCATATTAGAGACAGGGTTTCACCATGTTGGCCAGGCTGGTCTTGAACTCCTGGTCTCAAGAAATCTACCCACCTCGGCCTCCCAAACTGCTGGGATTACAGGTGTGAGCCACTGCCCTGGGCCAGGTTCTCTTTTTTATGTAAAATTCTCCAAGGTCTCAAAAATGCTTAAGACCTTCATAGTTTGGAGCTTTATTATTTATTAAGCAGTGTTTTGCCTTTGAATTAATCTTGTTTGCTTCCAAAATGTAATGCTTCACTAGTTTATAGTTTCTTTCACTTCTTGCATTGAGGTCTGTCTACATGTTCTACAGAAAATTTATTTTTATTTATTTATTGAGATGGAGTCTCAGTCTGTCCCCAGGCTGGAGTGCAATGGCATGATCTCAGCTTGCTGCAAACTCCATCTCCCAGTTTCAAGTGATTCTCCTCCCTCAGCCTCCTCAGTAGCTGGAACTGCAGGTGCACACCACCATACTGACTACATTAAAAAAAAAAAAGTTATAGAAGCCAGGTGCGGTGGCTCATGCCTGTAATCCAGGCACTTTGGGAGGCTGAGGTGGGCAGATCACCTAAGGTAAGGAGTTTGGGACCAGCCTGGCCAACATGGTGAAACCTGTCTCTACTAAAAATACAAAAATTAGCCAGGCATGGTGGCAGGCACCTGTAATCCCAGCTACTCGGGAGACTGAGGCACGAGAATCACTTGAACCCAGGAGGCAGAGGCTGCAGTGAGCTGAGATCACGCCACTGCACTCTAGCCTGGACAACAGAGCAAGACTCCATCTCAAAAAACATATATATATAGAGAGACAAGGTCTCACTATGTTGCCCAGGCTGTTCTTGAACTCCTGGACTCAAGTAATCCTCCCACCTTGGCCTCCCAAAGTGCTGGAATTACAGGTGTGAGCCATTGCACCCAGCCTCCTTTCTTTTTGCTTCTGATATCTGTGAGAGACCTTAGAGAAATGTGGCATGATCTTTCTTAAATAAGCTTTAGCTACTAGCTGTTTCACCCGTTATGTTTTTATTTTATAAGTAATGAATTTGCTCAGGATTTTGATTGCATTCTGCAAGTAATAATTTTGCATTGTAAGACAGCATTACATGGCATTTTCTAATAGGAGGAGTACTTCTTAGTGGTAATAAAGAATGCATGTTTCAGCTGGGCGTGGTGGCTCATGCCTGTAATCCCAGCACTTTGGGAGGCCAAGGCAGGTGAATCACTTGAGATCAGGGGTTTGAGACCAGCCTGGCGAACATGGTGAAACCCTGTCTCTACTAAAAATATAAAAATTAGCCAGGCATGGTGGTACATGCCTATAATCCCAGCTACTCGGGAGGCTGAGGCAGGAGAATTGCTTGAACCTGGGAGGCGGAGGTTGCAGTGAGCTGTTATCAGGCCACTGCACTCCAGCCTGGGTGACAGAACAAGATGCCGTTTAAAAAAATAAAACCAAAGAACAGAATGCCTATTTCTCAGAGTAGGAAATTTCAAAGAAAAACATTACAGAAAAAAATTAAAGAAGAATATGACTATAAAACATCTTACCAAGTCCTAACTGGGTTACAGGGCAACCGCTTATAGAAAATAGTGCTGGAGTCATCTCTGTGGTACTTGTGAGGTATCATGATAATTTACTAAGATAGTACTTCTAGGTAAAGTCTTATCTGCTGACACACAAGGCTCAGGAATTGTCTCCAAGATTTATCAAAGCTAGTTTCCAGACAAATAGGGTCATGTCCTTTCCTAAAGGGGAAACTGGACTGGGATGGGACTGTCATCCAGCTGAAATTACCAACAGCTTTGCTGCTATAAAAGCCAGGTTTTCCAGAGCTGAGTCTCACCTGTGCTATAAGGCCTTCCCACAGTGGCTACTTCGGATACCTTCCAAAATATGGGTACACTCCAAATTCAAGGACTGTTATTACTTACCATTCTCTATCCAGTCAGTATCCATCATCCTGAGCTCACTGTGATCCATGTACTTCGATAAGAGCCCTAAATGCAGGATAAAGTCAGTGAGTCTGTGATCTGGCTTTTGCTCTTGGAAATAGTATCTAATATTTTTTATCATTAAGACATCTAAGCAGCTGGCAGAATCAGCCTTCTGATAATTAGGCAGATTCCAAAACGCGGGCTTCTAGGTGCCTGGTAGTTACCTATAGGCAGCAGAGCCCCTTTTTCCTACAAGTGTTTTCAAGGTCATCTTCATAAAGAATGGGGATTCTTGGCTGGGTGCAGTGACTCACAGCCGGGTACAGTGACTAATGCCTGTAATCCCAGCACTTTGGGAGGCTGAGGCAGGAAGGCTGCTTGAGCCCAGTTTAAGACCAGCCCGGACAATGTAGCAAGACCTTATCTCTTAAAAAAAAATTAGCTGGGCATAGTGGCACACACCTATAGTTTCAGCTACTCAAGAGGCTGAGGGAGGTAGAAGGATCCCTTGAGCCCAGGATGTTGAGGCTGCAGCCAGCCATGATTGTGTCACTGTGCTTCAACTTAGATGACAAAGGGTGACCTTGTCTCAAATACCCCTCCAACACAAAAAAAACCCACACTGTACTTACATAAAAATGAGAATACTGACTGGTCATGGTAGCTCACGCTTGTTAATCCCAGCACTTTGGGAGGCTGAGGCAGCAGGATCACCTGAGGTCAGCAGTTCGAGACTAGCCTGGCCAACATGGTGAAACACCATCTCTACTAAAAATACAAAAATTAGCCAGGTGTGGTGGCAGGTGCCTGTAATCCCAGCTACTCAGGAGGCTGAGGCAAGAGAATCACTTGAACCTGGGAGATGGAGGTGGCAGTGAGCCAAGATCGTGCCATTGCACTGCAGCCTGGGCAATGCGAGCAAAACGCTGTCTGAAAAAAAAAAAAAAAAAAAAAAAAAAAAAAAAAAAAAAAGTAAAAAAGAATAGGAGAGGGAAAACAGGAATTTGTTTTGATAGATCTTATGGCTTAATTAACATGGACAACTTGTAGTTTTATCCGTTAACAGCACCTAATTTCCTTCTGTAAATACTGTCATCAGTGTATCCGCTATAGGTTTGGGTGAAGATCAGACATATAATCCCTAATGGAAAGTCTGATATAAGGGCACTGCAAGTCTGATCAGAGGAAACTTCTGTGGGTCCTGTGGGTCCTATTTTTTTTTTTTTTTTTTTTTTTTTTTTTTGAGACGGAGTCTCACTCTGTCACCTAGGCTGGAGTGCAGTGGTGCAATCTCGGCTCACTGCAACCTCCGCCTCCTGGGTTCAAGCAATTCTCCTGCCTCAGCCTCCCGAGTAGCTGGGACTACAGGCACGTACCACTGTGCCTGGCTAATTTTTTTGTTTGTTTTTAGTAGAGGTGGGGTTTCACCGTGTTAGCCAGGATGGTCTCGATCTCCTGACCTCGTGATCCGCCCGCCTTGGCCTCCCAAAGTGCTGGGATAACAGGAGTGAGCCACCATTCCTGGCCCCTTCTGTGAGTCCTAAAGAGGCTACACATATGGAAGACTTCTGGGAATAGTCAGTCCTAGGGTCTACTAGGTGGTTCTAGGGTCAGCTTCTGGAAAACCATGGATAGGCTTCCTGAAGCTGCCCAGGCTGAAGCTGACCCTGAGATCAGCCACAGTAGCTTCTGTGGAGTTTGTGAAGAGAAATGACACCATCTGTGTCCTGGCAGAGCCAGTGGCATGCTGCCATGGCCACATAGCATGGCAGCCCTTGCTTGGGACTCCCTGAACATGCTCTGATGGACAGTAAAATAATCTGTTCTATACAAGGAAAGGATTCAAGATAGTTATAAAAGCAATATGTAACTCCATTGCAATTCAGTCCATAAGTAACTTTTTCAGCAGCAACGTGACTTTGTAGCCTCTGCTCCATGTTAGCAGGGCTCCCAAGAGTCCACCAGTCTTTCGTGAGTACAGGTGGCAATCAAAGGTAAATTTGCGACTCAGTTGGGAGGGAACTATAGAAAAATAGATCCACAATAAAAAAGAGGTCACAGATATCAACTGCTGTTGTGAAAA